TAAAAGTTTTAAATTTTGAGGGTACAACGGTCATTACATTTAACTTGAAAAGGCCATCAGACATGTAACATTTGCCTACATACATCCCATTCTTAGTAAGTACAAATTTATCACTCTCAAAAACTAGCCTAAACCCATTCTTACTCAACAAAGATTCGGAAACAAGATTCTTGCGAATATCCGGTACATGCAGCACATTGTTGAGAGTGAGTTCCTTTCCAGATGTCATCTTGAGAACAATCTTCCCTTGTCCTTCAACTTTGGAAGTTGAGGAGTTGCCCATAAAAAGTTGTTCACCATTGTCCACTGTAGAATAAGATGTGAACATCTTTTTGTCGGCACAGATATGGCGAGCAGCACCAGTGTCCACCCACCATTCTTTAGGATTTCTGACAAGATTTGCCTCGAAAACAACTGTAGAAAGATTGATGTCATCTACACCATTGGAAATCTTGTCCACTTCAGTCATATGAGCTTGAGCAGGCTTCTTGCTTGTTCTTCTGTTGCTTTTGCCTTTGCTACGGCAATCTTTGGCCCGATGTCCCTCTTTGTCACAGATGTAACATTTGCCATTAAACTTGCACTTTTTATTTTCCCCCCTTTTAGAGCCTTGTGATGAACTTTCTCCAGAAGACTTTCGTTTCTTGGTTTTTGAAGCATGTTCCACCACATTTGCCTTAGACTCCATAAGATGCATACCAGTCCACTTTTCAGAATTGCGGTTGTCCTCCTCAATCCTCAAACGCACAATTAATTCTGCCATAAACATTTCTTTGCCCTTGTGTTTGAGGTAATTCTTGAATTCCTTCCAGCCTTATGGTAATTTTTCAATTAAGGCTGTAACTTGGAAGGATTCACTGAGAGATATGCCTTCTGCGTGAATGTCATGTAGAATGAGTTGGAAATCTTGAACTTGGCTGATCACAGATTTTGAATCAACCATTACAAAATCCAGGAATCTGCCAACCACAAATTTCTTTGAGCCGGCATCTTCCGTTTTGTATTTTTTCTCCAAAAACTCTCAAAGTTCCTTTGCTGTCTTGATAGAACTGTAGACGTTGTATAATGTGTTGTCAAGTCCATTCAAGATGTAGATCGGCCCAATCGTTCATATCAATCGGCCTTTAGCCCAATCATTCATATCAATCGGCCTTCGGTCTAGTCATTCATGTCAATCGGCCTTCGGCCCAATCATTCATATCAATCGTTGTCCACCATTCAGATTAAACAATTGGACAACAGTATATTTCAAATATCTTGTTAAGATATTACTCACAGTGATCGGCTTGTGGATTTTCCCTGGAACTTGACCCTACACATTCCATGAACACAAAAAGAGGTCACAAACAATTCGATCCATTCTTAAATTCACATTTTCCTCTTTAGGCTTTATTCTTATCTCTTTAATTCAATTACCATGCTCAATGTATGCCTAAGAGTACTTGGAAGTAAAAGAGAACAGAAAACGGATCTCAAAATGCATAAACAAAATTTCAGAAAACAGGGTACCCGCTCGAGCGTGGATTTCCTCGCTCGAGCAGACCCTTAAGGCCTGCGAAAGTACTGGTTATGTCAAATTTACGCTCGAGCGTGTATTCTGACGCTCGAGCGAAAGGCCTCTCTACATGGCTCCCCGCTCGAGCGTGACCTTCCCCGCTCGAGCGGACACCATGTCTGCAAAAAGTACTGGATGTTTCATTTTTACGCTCAAGCGTGAATTCGGACGCTCGAGCGGAAGTTCATCCTATATAGCTCCCCGCTCGAGCGTGAACTTCCCCGCTCGAGCGGACATCATGGTCTACGGAAAATACTGGGAGCATGAAATTCACGCTCGAGCGGCGGTTTCCCCGCTCGAGCGGACATCAAATTTTTGGGAAATCCAGAACATGTTCTTGAGCTCAAATTCAACATTCCAACCACATTCCTTGCATACTATGGCTCCAATTTCACATATACTTGTACTACCATGGTACCAACACTAAAATACATCAACACGAAGCTCAATTTCACAAATTGATCACATGCATGCCCCAAATTAACTCAAACTCATGCATTCAAGGTTTCCATTTTTAATAAACAACATGCATGCCCATTTTGACTTTCATTTTCACTTCTAATGATGCAATTAGTGCTCATTCCCATGAAACTCAACAAAAACATGCTTACATGTGGGATTACACTTCCAATCTTTCATAATTTACAATTTGCATGCTAGATTTTGTGATTCCATAGGTATGCTTTACATGCATGCACATATCAAGCTTTAATTCCAACAAAACCAACTCAACTCATGCTCTTGGTTACAAACAAACCTTGAACACACAAGATTACACATTAAACTCATGAATTCAAGAATCAATTGCTTACCTAGAAGCCCAATCTATGGTTAATTCTTGAGTTAGACTTCAAACTTCCAAGCCTTCAAGACCAATTTTGATTCTCCTACACTCTCCCTCTCTCTAGTTCGGCTCTCTCTCTATCTCTTGGAGTCAAAACCAGCCAAATGAAAATAAAAGAGGGATTTGAGTGTATTGTGCCTTTTTACATAAACTCCCACTAGCCACAATTTAATAATAAGAAATAATTGGGCACTAATTCACCAATTTAATCAACTTAATCTGGTCCGAATCAATTTTTCAATTAAACTTCACCGTAAGCTCTAAAAATTATGCCAATCACAATGACGCAATCAATTTCGGGTTCTGTGGCTGATAAGGCCTTCAATTTAATTTCCAAAGCAGATAATCAGACAGATATTCCTACGGTGAACAGATAAAAATTTAAAATCACATATTTTCACATAATTGCATACAAAATCATATTAAACACATAATCATACTCATATTAAGGGCCAATAATCGTATTACGGAACAGGGATATCACACGTTTCATGCTAGATTATGTCGAATGAGGGATTGTGGCTGAATTTGGAGCTGCTGCTAATATTGAACCTTGGCTAACTTAAAATCAAGACTCTATCGAAATAAAATTTTATTATGCTTAGTATTAGTAATCATGAATGTTATAAAGTTGTTGTAATATTGTATGTTGACTCGTAATTTAGTTGTTAAGCTTTGACTATGTGAAAATCTAAATTTCCCTAATTAGTTGTTAATTTTTTTTTAGTAAGTTATTTGTTATTTAAATTTTATGATGTTCCAAAAGAAAAATTAGGGTGTCACAGTTTGGTATCAGAGCCTAGATTCGAACCTTTGAGCCATGGGTAGCAATTATATTTTTTCACGTTTAAGAAAGCCTTACGTTAACTTATAATTTTTAGTGACTTAACTAAGTTAGAACCTTTTTAATTGTAGGATGTCAGGGTCATTAGATATTAACTCTAATGATGAAAGTTCGATGAGAAACTATAAATCTGACCAAAGTGAGGAATTGGAGTCGCCTGTAGAGGATTATGAGCCTAAGTTCGACCCTGAAGAGATTGCACCAGTAGAAGACTACAAACCTGAGCCTAAGCTTGAGCCTGAACCTGAGTCTGAGCCTGAATCTGACCCTAAAGAGATTGCACCAATAAACAACCCAATTGAGATAATTGTGATTGAGTCAGACACTGAAGAAGAGTCTATAGAAGGCAATACTGATGAGAGCACCGGAGAGGTAGGAGTCGTGTTTGAGAATTGGGATGCTCGAAATGGGCTGCAGATTGGCTCATTTGTATATATCAGAATTTATCCCCTAGGAGGTTGTGCTTGGAAATTTTAGAGTTGAGTGGGTACCTACATTGGACCTATCCAAATTTTGAGGCAAGAAACTCCCTGGTTATATCAACTACGCCCTTTCCCGGAAGGTTTCACCGATAGGATGGGCAACCTTTTTGACATTTTGAGCGTTCAGTATATCATGCCTGACCCAAGCAGAATTGTGATGAGAGATGGGTCAGTGGGCTTCAAGGACTGGAGGAGCCGGTGCAGCTGCTAGGGCATTGTGTGTATGAAACTGCTGTCATCGTGAGGGTGCTGTGGCGATTCATGGGACTTTTTCAAGCCACATGGGAACCGGAAGCCCTTGTGAGGAGAGACTTTCCTTGGCTATTTTAAGAGGTCTTAAGGGAATTATAAACTAGGCTAACCGATTGTTTTGTATGCTTACATGTAAAATTGCCTAGTTTAGAATTATGAGTGTAGGAGTTAACTTGGATTGTAGGGGCTATCTTTTGCTCGTAGTATGTTATTTTATCTTTTCCTTTGTTTTACTTGTATTTTGCTGATTGTAGCTTATCTAATCTAACTAATGAAGTTTTTTTTTACTATCCTTGCACATAAATATAATAATAATGATGATGATAAATAAATGAATAAATCACAAATTACTAAAAGTCCCATCATGCAGAATGGCTGGACGAACAAGAAATAGTAACAACGGTAATGGTGATGGAGTGTCTGAGGGTGATATCGCTCGAATTATACGAGCAATTGCTGATAGGGTAGGCAATATACCACCTCAAAACCAAGATGAAAGCAAATCTGAAATGATAGCAAAATTTAAAAAGCTACATCCCCACAAATTCCTTGGTGGATCAAACCCCTATGAAGCTGAAGCTTGGTTAAGACAAATTAAGAAGTTACTAGATACTTCTGACATCCGAAATGAGCAAGATAAAGTGAATATGGTAGCATTTCAAATGGAAGGGGAAACAGATCATTGGTGGGAAATGATCAGAAGTATTCGACAAGTAGAGACATTAACTTGGAGACAATTCGAAGATTTATTCATGGAAAAGTATTTTCCTAACTCGCTAAGACAATAAATGATCCAAGAGTTCCTTCAATTGAAACAAGGAAAAATGTCAGTCACTCAATATGCGAACCGTTTTGAAGCCCTCTCACGGTACGCTTCAGCTATAATAGCAAATGAAGAGGATAAAGTTAGACAATTTGAATGGGGTTGGGACACAAACATTAAGGAAAGATTGATTACAGTGCAGCTTTCCATCTATGCTCAAATGGTGGATCTAGCTTTAATTGTGGAACGAAAGTTAGCGGATTCCGAACGCATTCGAAATCAGCGATCAAGGAACAACAACCAACCATGCGGAGGACATCCAGTTCGCAACACCAGAAACCATCCTGCACCAGCACCTTATGCCGGAGGGTTGCAGCAACAACAAAGGCAGAATAGAGGAAACCAGCAGGGAGGAAACTTTGTAAATGAGTGGAAAGGAAAATGTTTCAGATCTGGTCAGCAGATGCATCATCGAAGTGAGTGTCCTCAAGGTGGGAAGTATTTTATGGATCAGCGAGGGGCACAATAATACAACAAATGCCAGCCAAGGCAAGGTTCTAAGCCTACTCAAAATACTCAGACCAACAAGAGACAACCACAAGCCTCTAGGAATGCAAGCCGACCAAGAACACAACCACAAGGAGCTGGAAATGGAAAGAAACCAGGAGGGACTAACCAACCGGCAATAGGAAGAATGTATGCTCTCCAAGGAGAAGAGGATGTTGGTAACCCATTAGTAATTCAAGGTATGTTAATCCTTATGAATTCTTAGGTTAAGGTATTGTTTGATTCCGAAGCTTTGCATTCTTTTTTATCTACTGCATGTGTGTCAAGTTTGGGTTTGGAACCCGAAACGTTAGAGATAGCTATAAGTGTTGCTTCACCCTTAGGAGGTCAAACCCAAGTAAATCCAGTATGTAAGTCTTGTGAACTAGAAATCTCCAGTTCATATGTGATCTGTGATCTAAGAGTTATGGAGATGTTTGATTTTGACGTCATCCTAAGAATGGACTGGTTGTCGGTTCATCGAGCCATTATTGATTGTTACCGTAAGACAGTGACAGCATCCTCCCTTAATGGCACGAAAGTTCAATTTAAAGGAGATAGACAAGATTTGCTAACTCTAACGCGTCACAAGTCACGGTGGCATAATCAACTGACTGGATGGTTGGCAAGCTTAATTTTGGAAGACGAAAATCGAAAGGATCCAGGATTACCCCATGTGGTGTGCGAATACGCTGACGTTTTCCCTGATGAATTACCGAGATTACCCCCAAAATGAGACGTAGATTTCACAATCGAGCTTCAACATGAGACTTCACCAATTTCAATAGCACCACATTGTATGGCGCCAGTTGAACTTCGAGAATTGAAGGAGCAGTTGCAAGAACTGTTGAGTAGGAAGTTTATCAAACCAAGTACGTCTCCCTGGGGAGCGCCAGCATTATTCACGAAGAAGAAGGATGGAACTTTAAGATTGTGCATCGATTATCGACAACTAAATCAAGTCACCATTAAAAATCGATATCCACTACCAAGGATCGATGACTTGTTCGACTAATTAAGAGGTTCAAAATGTTTTTCCAAAATTGACCTTAGGTCGGGATATCACTAACTTCGTGTCAAAGAAGAAGATATACCCAAAACTGCGTTTCGAACCCGTTATGGCCACTATGAGTTCATGGTAATGCCATTTGGTTTGACGAATGCGCCAGGGTATTCATGAGTTTAATGAACAAAATTTTTACACCTTATTTAGACCAATTTGTGGTAGTATTCATTGACGACATTTTGATATACTCATGATCGGGGGAAGATCACGAGCAACATTAGAGAACCGTTTTGCAAGTTCTAAGGGAGAACCAATTGTATGCTAAAGCTAGCAAATGTGAATTTTGGTTGAAGGAAATAAAATTCTTAGGTCATCTTGTGTCTGAATCAGGAATATCAGTGGATCCTGCTAAAGTAGAAGCAGTAATGGGATGGAAACAACCTAAGAATACATTTGAGATTCGTAATTTCTTGGGCTTAGCAGGTTATTATAGAAGATTCATTCAAGATTTCTCCAAATTAGCCAAGCCAATGACACGCCTAACACAAAAAGGAGTAAAGTTTGAATGGAACGAGACTTACGAGCAGTCGTTTCAAGAACTCAAGAAGAGACTGACGAGCGCTCCTATACTAATCATACCCGAATGTGACATCGGTTACACGGTATATTGTGATGCCTCTAAAGAAGGGTTAGGTAGTGTGTTAATGCAAAACGGGAAGGTAGTAGCCTATGGATCAAGACAATTGAAGAATCATGAGAAAAATTATCCTACTCACAATCTGGAGTTGGCGACTGTGGTCTATGCACTTAAGACTTGGCGACATTACCTTTATGGAGAAAAGTTTGAGATATTTATCGATCACAAAAGCTTGAAGTACTTGTTCATACAAAGAGATTTGAACATGAGGCAGAGACGCTGGATGGAGTACCTTGAAGATTACCAATTCACTTTGTCTTATCATCCCGGGAAAGCTAATGTTGTAGCAGATGCACCAAGTCGAAAGACAAGAGAGATTGTAGCCAACATATCAATTAAAGAATGGGAAATGGTAAGCACCGTGAATGAGTTTAAGTTACAATCAGAGACTCAGAATGGAAAGGGTAGGTTGTTTACAATAGTTACAACACCCCAACTTCTTACTAAAGTGTTGGAAGCCCAAAGACTTGATTAAGAGATCGACTTTATCAAGGCACAATTAGTGTTCGGGGAATTTTCACCGGATTGGATGCTCTATCAAGATGGTAGTTTAAGGTATTTAGGTAGAATTTTTGTGCCGCACAACGAACAATTGAGAGAAAAAGTACTTAAAGAATTTCAGCATTTGGTTTTTGTGGTTTATCCGGGAGGAAACAAGATGTACCAGGATCTTAAGCGACATTATTGGTGGAGTGGAATGAAGAAGGACATTGCTCAATTTGTATCTAAGTGCTTGACGTGTCAGCAAGTGAAGGCAGAACATCAGAAGCTGGCAGGGAAACTCCAACCTTTACCAATACCTGAGTGGAAGTGGGAACACATAACAATGGATTTTGTAACGGGATTACCCCGGTCGCTACAAAGCCATGATGCCATTTGGGTGGTGGTTGATCGATTAACTAAGACGACACATTTCCTACCAATAAGACCAGTAGACACACTCGAATCATTAAGTCGATTATTTATTCGAGAAATCATTAGGTTGCATGGAGTACCAGTCTCAGTAGTGTTAGATCGTGATTCTCGTTTTATGACACAATTCTGGCAAAGTCTGCAGAAAGCTATGGGTACAGAGTTGTGTTTTAGTACAGCTTTTCACCCTCAAACTGACGGTCAATCAGAAAAAACAATTCAGACTTTAGAAGACATGCTTCGAGCTTGTGTGATGGACTTTAAGGGTAGTTGGGAGAAACACTTACCACTAGTCGAATTCTCTTACAATAACAGTTTTCAAGCAAGTTGTAATAACCCACATTCTTGTCTTAGTCATGTTCATGAGCATTTATATGATTTTGCCTTGTTAAGTTTGTACATGCAGACTTAGACTTGTTTTGCCTAGGTAAAGGTTCTTGTCTTGTGTTGATGCTATCATGTTTTGCCTAAGTGTTATATGCATGCTTTGTTCCTTACTAGGTCATGCCAAGCCTAGGTCATGTTAAGCCTAGGTCATGTCAAGCCTAGGTCATGCCAACACCTAGGACCATCTTGGAACCACTTTGGTTGACCTCCACCTTCACCCTGGCATATTGGCTGAGATGTCATCATCTAGGCCGAGGTGTGCATCACCTAGGCCGAGATGTGTATCATCTAGGCCGAGATGTTATCATCTAGGTGTCCTAGATCTTTGATCATTGCACCTAGTGATCTTGTTCCTGGACTTATATGACCTAGACCGAGGTGTGGCACATCTAGGCCGAGGTGTGCCACAGCTAGGTCAAGTGTTATCCTTCCTAGCCGAGATCATTGAGGCCTTACTTGCCGAAGCCTATGTCCTAATCCGAGATCATTACCTGCCGGAGTGCCTATGTCACCTTGTTTGTTGTACACCCTTTGTCATGCTCTTGTCTTGTCATTCAGTCACCGTTTTGAGGAAACCCAATCTGGTAGTGCCACGTGTCCCAGCAAAGGGTTAAGTCTGCTGGCAGTAGAGAAACCCACATCATTTGTCATATCTTTGCCTTTATAGAGAGAGAAGCTCTAGGAAGAGGGAAAAAGAAGTTTTTAGAGAGAGAACTAGATTTCCAAGCTTGATCTTCACACCTTGAACCATTAGATTTGTGTTTTGAGGTTAGAATCTTGATCTACTCTTGTTGTTCTTTATGTTGATCCGATCACATTGCATGATCTAGCATGATTCATGAGCCATGCATTGATTTAAAGCTTGTTTTAAAAAGAAAAAAATGATGTTCTTGCGTTCTTGAAAGAAAACCATGTTTTGATCAGAAAGTTTGTATCAAGATCTATGTTTTTGTGTTTGTTTTCATGAAATCTTCAAGTATGGGTACCCAAGTCCATGTTTTCGAACTCATCTCATGAAATCTCAGATTTTGAATAAAGAAGTTATGATTTTAGCATTCATGTTCTTCACGTTCATGTCCTCTATGTTCTTCATGTTCATTAAGAGGGAAACCTAGATTTCCAGACCTCACTTCCTTAGGTGTGATCACCGAGACCACTCTTGCCTATATCCCACACCTAGGCCAAGCATCGTATCTCACCTTGGCCTACCTTGCATGATCACTTGCACCTTAGCCTATCTTGCATGCACACCTAGGCCAACCTCTGCATACCTAGGCTAACCAATGCACACCTAGGCTGACCATGGTACACCCTTGTCGGCACCTTGTAACACCACGGCAGGCAGCTGCACACGGAAGCCTAGGTAACCACACCTCGGCCAAGAGGTGTGGGACCTCGGCCAAGACCTCTTGAGTTCACCCAGCTAGGCCATTTTTGCCTAGATCATTTCTGTACATCCATTCCAAGATCTGGTTGGTACCCAGCATGTTTTCCCTAGATAAAAAACAGTGTTTTTACACCCAGCATGTTTTCCGTAAATGAAAAACACTGTTTTTACACCCAGCATGTTTTCCCTAAAAGAAAAACAATGATTTAACTCCCAGCATGTTTTGCTTTGTCTTGACTTGGTTTTGGAAAGAAATGTCGGGATCATTTTCATTCATGTAAAGTTTGTTTTTAAGAATACATTTCATATCCATCTTTGAGCATCTCTTTTTGTCTTCTTGAAATGCATTCAATAGACTTTATTATGTATTTGTAGGTCTTGGATCCTTGCCTTAATCCCTACACCCGAAGAGCTAAGTGAGTGGCATTTTTAATAAAGTTATGTTATAAAGTTTTGATAAAGCTTTGCTTCGTTTTGGAAAAGTATTTGATCAAGCATGGATGATTATCTCTAATTTTTGTATCAAGTATTATCTTGTTTTGATGACATTCTTGGAAAGTCCTTTCATGCTAGGGGACTATAAGCCCATGTAGC